GTCGGCTCTCATCCCCCCCTCTCATCACGGGTCAGGCGGGAGCCCCGGCGGCAGGGGACCCCAGCGCACAAGTGGCCTCTTGGGACACTCACAGGTGCCCGCGGCTGGGCTGGAACAGAGAGCCCTATGGCCCTGTGCTGGGCCCTCCCAGTTTGTAGCTGAGCCCCGGTAGATACCCTGAGTCTTCTACCCCTATTTCCCGGTTTTAATCGTCTAATACTTCAGCTTTTAGAACAGTGATGTGTGCAGCCTTGGCTGGTATAGAAGATTGGGCTGAGGTGGAGGTGGTTTAAGAGTCTTCCAGTGGTTCCCAGGTAGACTGGAGAGAGGCAAATGTTTTAAGGACTGATTTGGGACTAAAGAGAACTGACCGAGTTCGGGGTCTGCTTGTTTGTTTTTGGTTGTTCTGGATGGTTTTCGGTTCTGCCAGTCTCTCGTCATCAGAGGTAGAGATGTTCCTTAATAGATGGGTGGCAAATGTGTGTGTGGGTGGGTGAAGAGTGGGTGGGCGCGTGGGCTGTTAGGAATGAGGCGAATTTGGGGCCATTCACATAGTTACACAATATGAAAACGGTGGGCGCCTCAGCACGCTGCACAGTAAAATCCTACGGGAGGACAGTGGGAGTGTGATTTGACATTCCTTTTATTTTTTTTTTCTTTTTAAAGAGCTCTCAGATATGCCATGCCCACCAGGATCCTAGGAGAAGGCATAACTTGCTAAGTGGCAGGCATGCGCGGGTAAGTGCAGAGCTTGTCTGTCTCTCCCTGCTTGGACAGAATGGAGAAACAGTAGCTGTCAGTTCCAAGACTCCGGGCTGCCTCCCTGGTGAAGCAAGAGAGAGCAGAAAGCTCTCCAGCCCAGTTTCCCACCCATGACTACGGAGCAGAGCTTTTTTGTGAGTGACTCTACTTTATTAGCCTTCCTTATTGCTTTCAGGCAGCTGTCTGTTGAACCAGCCCTCCTTGGAGAGGAAGGAACTAGGAATATGTAACTCAGGGAGATAAACGCATGGTAACTTTGGGAGGCTGCATGTAGTAAGACTGACATTATTTTTCCAAAATAAATGAGGTGAACAGCCAATTCTGAGTATATAAAAATTTTCATCTGCAGCAGGCTATGAAACACAGAAGCTGTATTTTCAGGTAGTAACAGCACGAAGAACAGCAAGTGATGAAAGACCAGTGTTCTAATTGGAAAGGAGAAAGAAATGCCCTTTTGGGAAGGGGCTAATTTCCCAACTGGTCTCTGTTTTGTCTATAAATGCATGTGACAGCTATAATCAGATCTAACAATCTTTAAGTTTTGCAGTGTCTGTAGTTGCATACCTTATTTTAGAAATATATATTGGGATAATAAATAAATTTCTGTAAAGATAATGTATATAAATTCTTTCCCTCTTAGTATTATCCCTTTCTGAACATTACTCTGTCTTGCAATTATACTAAGGTAAGCTGAAAATATATACATTTATCCAATGGGGAACTGTTTTATCCAATTGGAATGACTACCCGACAATACACTTAGCAAAGGAGGCTTGCAAATACTTAAAAAAAATAGTTTACATTTTCTCTATAATGGGAACACTGCTATTCCTCGCAGGGAATATCTATCATGTAAAATTTCAAAGGTATTAGAGTATCTGTGTATTTACCCAAACTCATCTGTAACAAGGCTATCTTTGTAGCCCATACATTATGATAATTTAATAAATGCTCTCATTAATTTCCATACATACTGAATTTTGTTGAAGTCAGTGGATGTAAAATTTCCATTTTTTCTTTCCACTGCCACCCTGGTTTTCACCTTCATTATCTCTCACTTGGATTCATTCACTAGCCTCTTAATGAACCTCCCTACTTCTTTTCTTTCCTGTTCTTAAGTCTGTTGAAAACAGCAGCTAGAGTAAAAATTTTAAAACAAGTCACGTAGCTACGTGCCTTCACCAGAGACTCTCCGGTGACTCTTCTTTCTCAGAGGAAGAAGTCAAAGGCTGTTCCGTAGACGAAGGCCCTACACAGCCTGCTTCTCCTCTGTTTACCTTTTCCAATGCTGTTCAGCACACCAGGTGCATTCCAGCCTTCAGGATTTCATATTCTGTGCCCCTGGGACGCAGTCCCGGAGACCCGCGCGTCGCCCTCCGTGTCGCCCTCCGTGTCGCCGTTGCTATGTCTTACCTCGCACCCCTCGGGCCCCTCAGGCCGGAAGAGGCCTTCCCTGCCACCCGGAGTAAAGGGCAACTCCTCATAGCCCCAGCTCCCCTTCCTTGCTGTAGTTTTCTCCATAGCACTTACTATCATCAAGCATACTGTCTGTTTTATTTATTAATGTCTTTCTCTGCTTAGAAGACTAGAAATGCAATGAGAATGTCACAACTGTCTCCACTAAAACCAGGCCTAACCCAAAATAAGCATTCAGTAAGTATTTATTGGAAGGATGAATTTTCTTTCATAAACAATTTCTTTTTTAACCCAAAGTGGAACCTTTTTTCCTACATACCTGACCTGATAACAAATCTATTCAATTTAGCATCCTTTTTTTTTTTTTTTTTTTTTTGCATGTAAAAGGACTAGGATAGAATTCAGCTACTGATGTTAAGACAAACTCACAGAAGAACCTGCTATTCCCACCATGCATCTGCTATGTCAGTCTACACATTTTTATTCTAAATCTAATATTTGCAAGGTACTATGAGGTATACACAGCAACTAGCTTAAAGAGGTTATATTAAAAGTGAGATGAGCCAGTTAAGGATTTGAGGGACTAAGTAGCACTTTGAAAATGGGTAGAAGTTGGGTTGGTGATGAGACAGAATACCCACCCGAAGAAATGGCAGGGGCGAAGGTACAGATGTTAAAACAGGTCAAGTGCACTGGTGGACTGTGAAGAGACTGGTCTACCTGGAACAGAGCATTCACAATGGGGTTAGCAGAGCAAGGAGTGAAAGGCAGAAGAAAGCAGAATGTAGAGGTCTTGCAGCATCAGGCTGAGGTGTGGAGTCAACAGTCCAAATCTCATACCTGGGTATTTGTTTGCCTGGTGGTAGCTGGTAACAGGGAGTGGCCAGAAGTCATAGAATAAAGAGGATTTACTTTCCTATTCAGCTATTTTTACTCTTACTAATGAGGAAAACTCACAGTTATCTGGGAAGTAATGTTAAATATCATGGTAACAACCCGAATATGAAGCATGATACAAAGTTTTCTTGAATTCTTAAGTGAGAAATTTCCAAAGCATTTTTGGATTACTTGTTTCTTCAAGGTTTGTTTTCAGAAACCTAGAGACATAGACCATTCTCTCTGTCTTTGGTATTCTTGAGAGAAAAAGTGTGATTACCACGTAAGTCTAGGAGTCATTACAGGCTGTTGCACATAGGAGAGGAAAACTATATTTCTAAAAACATTCACATTTGAAATATCCCACTACCATTCCCAGTCTTAATACTTTTGTTTTCGTTTAATGTTAGCAATCTTTATTTTTTTTCCTTTTGTTTTATAAATTCAAGTTTTGTTTGTACAATAAAAAACAGTCCACATTCTAGAAAGCAGAAACGTTCAAGGAAAGGTTCATTAGAGACAACACTTAAAAAGCAAACATATTGTTGGTTCATTAAACATCTTAACTCCTTTTCAAAGTAAATCTGCATGATTTCCTTTATTCTGAAGAAAAAAAGAAAGAAATGAAATTCCCTTTCTTAACATAGGCACAAGGGCCTGGTAATTAACGTAAGAAATCTCACCTCATTTACTTAGTAATCTAGGGTAAATCAGATTTTCTTAAAAAGGAGTTTTTAATCTTTACAAAACTATGGTCTGTAATTTGTTTTGTTGGGAAAAATGCCACAAAAGATCAAAATTGTGACCAAAATTAGATCCCTGTATTGTATCTGTATACATTTTAGAGGAGGGAGCATATTTACAAGAATGGAAACTTAGAAATCTTTTGAAAGCTTCTGACATATTAATAAACTTACATAATCTTACAGTTAGAAAGAGTTTCAGAGCTATCCTACACAAATGCAAGAACTCCTTGAAAGCTTTACATGCAGTAGTTATTAACTTTTGTGTATAGACACTTGCTAGATTTGCAGGCAGTTCATTCCATTTGATGAAACATTTGCTCCTCATAATGGTGTGAAAATTTTTTAATATACTTCCTTTGGTTCTAACTTGTGTAGCTAGACATAATATTCTAAGCCTAGTTTCCTATGCCAGATGCTACCCACTCAAACATGAAAAGACATCTATTACCATTGCTGTTAAGTTTTTCTGGCTTAAACATCTTCTGTTCCTTCAACAGTCCTTCATACAACAGTTCTTGATGTTTCACTGTATTAATCATTTCCTTTTGAATATATTTGTGTTAAATAATGTCTGCCTTAAAGAGTTCAGTGTATGATAGAGCTATTATTACAACTTGACCTTTTCAAGAATTCTTCCATTTTCATAGTAAGAGAACGGGTTAGGTAGTTTTGTTTTTGTTGTATTTTGCATTGTTTGTTTCATATATTTTTCTTATGTTTTAAGCCATGCATTATTTTTTTGTTATACATTCATATTCTTACAGTGTTTAGGAATGTGCTGATAGTACTGTTTATATAAGACTTTGAACATAAGATTTATACACACCTTGCTTATTTACAGACCACTATGTTTTGTATAAACAAGCCCAATGAAAAATATTGGATTTTTTCAAATGTTTGTACTGTTTCTGCTATTTAAAAAATATGTTTATACAGATTTCATTTTGTTTATCTATTTGTCTTCAACTTAAACAGTGCTATGCATCAGGATTCATTCTGCCTGCCCTCATTACAATTAGTAATGCAATTGGTCATTTTCTCTTTACAGATTGTTCAGTTCAAAGGAATGAAGAATTCAGAATAATTTTGATAAGTGGATGCCAATATGGGAAATAAAAATAAGCTGAATATTTGACCTGCTTTGAAGAACACATACCATCCATTTGTGTAAACTAATCTGTAACAACCAAACCAATCAAAATGGATTTAACAATATTTTCTGAGGTTGAAAATCATTCAATCTACTATAATTTTTCAAAAAATAATACCCAGTTTTGGGCTTTTGAAAATCATTGTCATCTGCCCTTGGCCATGATATTTATATTAGCTCTAGCTTATGGAGCTGTGATAATTCTTGGGGTCACTGGAAACTTGGCATTAATCATAATCATCTTGAAACAAAAAGAGATGAGAAATGTTACCAACATCCTGATTGTGAACCTTTCCTTCTCAGACTTGCTTGTTGCCATCATGTGTCTCCCCTTCACATTTGTCTATACAATAATGGACCACTGGGTTTTTGGTGAAGCAATGTGCAAGTTGAATCCTTTTGTGCAATGTGTTTCAATCACTGTGTCCATTTTCTCTCTGGTTCTCATTGCTGTGGAACGACATCAGCTAATAATCAACCCGCGAGGATGGAGACCAAATAACAGACATGCTTACATAGCCATTGCTGTCATTTGGCTCCTTGCTGTGGCTTCTTCTTTACCCTTCCTGATCTATCAAGTCTTGACTGATGAACCTCTCCAGAACGTCACACTTGACGGGTTCAAGGACAAATACGTATGCTTTGATAAATTTCCGTCAGACTCTCATAGGCTGTCTTATACCACGCTCCTCTTGGTGCTGCAGTATTTTGGCCCACTCTGTTTTATATTTATTTGCTACTTCAAGGTAAGAAAACTCCTCTCTCCTCCCACCATTTCTATCTTTACCTTCTTTCTAAAGAATTCCTCATTAAATAAGTGGTTCTATTTGAACTATTTTTTTCCCTTTTCTCTATAGATATATATACGCTTAAAAAGAAGAAACAACATGATGGACAAGATGAGAGATAATAAGTACAGGTCCAGTGAAACCAAAAGAATCAACATCATGCTGCTCTCCATTGTGGTAGCGTTTGCAGTCTGCTGGCTGCCTCTCACCATCTTCAACACTGTGTTTGATTGGAACCATCATATCATTTCCACATGCAACCACAATCTCTTCTTCCTGCTCTGCCATCTCACGGCCATGATCTCCACCTGTGTCAACCCCATCTTTTATGGATTCCTGAACAAAAATTTCCAGAGAGACTTGCAGTTCTTCTTTAACTTCTGTGATTTCCGGTCTCGGGATGATGACTATGAGACAATAGCCATGTCTACCATGCACACTGATGTGTCTAAGACTTCTCTGAAGCAAGCAAGCCCAGTCGCATTTAAAAAAATTAACAACGATAATGATCTGAAACTGCTGTAGCATGTGGTCTCAGCTGACACCTGTTTCAAAAAAGCACAACCTGAAACATACTTTCATTACCTGTTCAACCAAGGAATGGGGTTGAAATCATTGAAGAAAGACAAAGATTTTACAGCCTTGCTTTCTACTGCTTTTGTTGTAACTGTCATAATTACATTAGGAACAACATCTATGGGCTTTGCAATCTCTTGGCAGAAGTTTTGACCAGACATCTTTGAAGTACTTTTTGTAAATTTATGCATATAATACAGAAGTTTTTTATATTGTGTTTATCGGAATGAAATTTCTTTGAAGTATTACTGTTAATAACTTTAGAATCACTACACCTGACACTTTAATTAGATTGAGACACCCTGATTAGATTGCCACTAGATTGGGTGATCCTGATGTCACTAACTATAGGCATTGTTTCAGTCTGTTACAAAGGTGACAATGTGCAAATAGCACTTAGGATGTGGAGATAAAAGAGAGTCTGTGTCTTGTATACCTATAGTTTAAAGTCATTCAGGAGTGATTTACATTTTTTTTTAATTTTAAGACAGGATTTAAGTTGCTCCTAATTAACTAACACTTATGATAAAAAGGCATAAAAGTAAAAATATTTCTCAGCTGTGAATACCATGGGGTTTGGGCCACCCACAAGACTTAAATGGGAAAGAAGTTCCATAATTTCAAGACTATTTTGGTACCCAACAGTCAAAGGATTTCCAAGTAATTAGTTTAACAATTAAATTAGTAATGCTGCAAAGAGTTGAATTATATTTATTTGAATTGATGGTCAAGGGATTTTCCATCTTTCACAAACAGTTCAGTGTTTGTCAAGCTCTCTTGCATAAATATACATGCAATTCAAAATGCATTTCCAGCTTACTATGTATAAAAACACTAAGTGTATTTTCTGTACATCAGTGCCTATATAGTAACTAATTTTTAATTTTCAATGTGTTTCTTTCAAAAAAGGACATCAAGGTACAATGCTAAAAGAATGTTCACCCTGGCTAGCAGGGATGCATACCTAAAAACTGAAAATGCTTCATATAGCCCATGTTAACCTGTGTAAACAGTACCTTGTGGAGTCTTTTAAATAATGCACTAAATAGAGTCTTGAGCAGTCACGTCATGTTAATATACTCAATTTCATGTATCCTGTAATCATGATTGAGCCTCAGAATCATTTGGAGAAAAGATGTTTTAAAGAACAAGGTATATCTTTGATGTAGTATATACACAAAGTATTAAGTGTGTTGATTTTAGAAGATTAGGTATTTTCTTTATTAAAATTGTTTTTGCTCTTTCTGAGTCTCTTGTGTTTCTCTGAAGCTTCATTTTCTTTTCCTTTTTCTTTCTGCTTCCATGTCTTCCCTCCCATGGAGTTCCCACAGGATCCTATATCCACTTGAGAACGAGACATTCTCCACATTGTGATATAACTATTGATGGCCCAGTCTTCTTCCTTTGCTTCTTGAAGCTTCTTAAAAGGGAGGGACTCTTTTATATGCTTTTGTGTCCCCAATGTGTTTAGAGCAGTGCCAGGTACTTAGAATTCTGTTTTTAATTATATATTTCTAAAAACAAACAAATAAAAAAATGACTTATTTTTTTTCTTATTTATGAGTATATTGATTTCACATCCTGATATTTTCTTGGACTCCTGCTCCTGAGTTTACCTTTACCAAGGAGGTGTTTTCCTTTTTATTTTATTTTTTTATTATTATGTTATTTTTCCTCCTAAACTAAGCAAAAAGGACCTTGCGGATTTTAGAAACATGCATTTCTTGTCTTGTAAATCAAGCAAATATCAAAATTTTAACATTAAATGTTAACATAAATTCAAGTTACAGACTAAAAATGACCATTTTATCTGAACAATAAAAAAATTCTAAAGCCAGTGTTTAATATAGATGGGAAAATACCATTTTTCCTTTTACCAAAACCTGGAATTTTAAACTACTTAATGTTTTTCTGCTTTGAGTGTCTAATGGGAGATGTTGTTTTTCTTTATGTAGGTGCTTTGGAAACAAATTACTACTTGAGAAAAGCCTTAATGCATAGCTACTTCTTTGTCAGTGTATTTGCTAAAATGGCCGTTTCTAGGATTTCCTTTCAGCTGTGTCGGCTGCTGATTCCTTAGCTTTCCATAAATAGTTAACTTAGTATCAAATTCTTCTTTTTTATCAAAGGATGCCAATGAAATAATAGTAAAGCCTAGGTTCAACAACAGATCCATTGAAATTCAAGAAAATAAATGCCACGTTAAATACAAACTATGGAACCACTGGGTTTTCTGAAACCCAAGAACAAAAATAAATTATTTGCTTAGTACAAGAGCATAGCCACAAGGCAGCTTATATAAGTTTAGAATAAAATGATAATAGCTAGAATTTTTAAACAGGTAATATGTGCCAAGTACTACGTCAAGTACGTATCTGTGAGGATATGTGACTAACATTTGGCTACTTCACACAATGGGAAACTGAAGTTCAAGTTGAAAAATTTGAGCTACACACTGAGTAACAAGTGGAGCAGAAATCAAACCCAGGTCTGTCTAGTATGAGTAAACTAAACAATGAGCTAGACTGAAGATAAGACTTTAGAAAATAATTCTTGTCTTTCTTTACAGGTTACTTTATCATGGTGTAACAAGACCACCTTCTTTCTGAGTTTGGCTGCCATAAGAAATGGAGTGAAGTGGAAGGATTGAGAGAAAGTGGTCATTATGATTATTTGTGTCCATAATACCTTTTTGAATTGGAAGATTCTACCTAAAAATAAGATTTGACTCTTTGTACTAGCTTTATTTATTTATTATTAACTGGATATTTTCATCCCCTTTTTTATTTCACAAGCTTCCAAGAAAATATAAATGCATATTCTAATATAATTTCAAAATTTGACAACCAAATAAATAGATATTTCCCCAATGAAAGTATTTCTCCACGTGGAGTAAAAGTGGTCAAAAACCTTGGATTGAAGCTGGGGTTTTAGGGATCACTTGGACCCTGTTCCCTCACTGCAGTTCAGTGGGTTCACGGACCCTGCCAAGTCCTTCACCACAGCCAGGCTTGCTTTCCTCAGCAACCTGGGATTCTGCTGGAGAATGCATTGCTCAGTGAGATTGCTCAGTGTGAATTCTTTCACAGTCTCCATATTTTCTTCAACCCTCTGGTCCTTCAGAAACATGTTAGACTTAAGAGTCTGAACCCTTGAAAATGAGGGCATAGCTTTCTAGGGCACATTAATAAGATTTCCTAAATTTCTTTCATTTATCGATTCCTTTATCAATATGTGTACATGTATGCATGTGCACATGCAGCACATTATATGGATATGAATATATATATAGAAATGTATAATTCTGCAATGGGTCATATTTATTGCTATTCATTTCTTGATTTCTTATAAACTATCACCTATATAGCACTATGATGAACTTCCCTACAAAGTACTATTGTTTTCTTCATTTCACAGACAAGGAGAGTGAGGCCTAGAGAGGTTATATTACTTGTCCAATGTCAATCAACTACCAAATGGCACCCATGATTTATTTCTTTTTATTTTCTTTTTTTAATCATGTTTATTCTATTACAGTTGTCTCAATTTTTTCACCTTTGTCCTCCTCCATCCATCCCACCCCACCTCCCTGCTCCCACAGTCAATTCCCACACTGTTGTCTATGCCCATGGGTATTTCATACATGTTCAGTGTCTAGTCCCTTCTCCTTCTTTCCACCATTGTCCTCCTTCCCCGTCCCCTCTGGTCACTTTCAGTTGGCTCCACGTTTCCATGACTGTGGTTTATTTTGTTCATTAGTTTATTTTGTTGAATAGATTCCACTTATAGGTAGATCATATGGTATTTGTCTTTCACCTACTGGCTTACTTGACTTAGCAGAATATTCTCCAGTTCCATCCATGTTATTGCAAAAGGTAGGAGTTCCTTCCTTCCTTCCTTCCTTTCTTTCTCTCTTTCTTTCTAATGCAGATTTTATTTATTTAAATGTCAAAATCCATTATAAAATATTACAAAATTTAAATCCATTATAAAGTCTCAGCAATTAAAACATGACACCAGCACAAAAATAATTAAGTAGACAAAGGAAATAAAATGAACATTCTAGAAACAAACGTGAATATCTGTCTAACAATATAATACATGATTAAATTGATATTTCACATCAATGGAGAAAATAAGGCTTATTCAACAAATAAGGTGCATGAAATAAAACAACTATAGAGCCCTATTTTACACATTATACAAAAGATATTCAGGTGAGTTAAAGGTTGATATGGAAAATCTGAGGAGTTTGGGAGAAAATACAAAATAATATTTTTCCTACCCTGAAGTAAAATATTCAAACCCAGAAAATATAAAGTAAAATATTGACAATATGACTATATTAAACATTTAAGACTGTACAGTATTATACATATAAAAAAGTTAAAGGACAAGTAATAGAATAGGAAAGTATTTGCAACACATCTCAAAAAGGGTTAATAGTTTTTTTAGGGAAAAAAAATTCTACAAACATTTAATAAAAAAATGGATAAAGAATATCAAAAAGTCATTTAAAGCTTTTTAAAAATAATAGAAATAGGCAGGAAATGTACAAAAAAACTGATTTAGATTCAACAAATAATAGAGTAACCATTAAAATAACATCATTGTCACAATCAGATTAGTAAGTATTAAAAATATTGGTAATATCAAGTATTGGTGACTGTGAAAGGAACTGGATATTCATAGGATCTTTTTCTTCATCTTCTTAAAGCAGGCCCTTTAGCATATCTTGCAATACTGGTTTAGTGGAAGTGTACTCTTTTAGCCTCCTTTTGTCTGGGAAACTCCTTATTTCGCCTTCCATTTTAATTGAGAGCCTTGCTGAGTAGAGCAGTCTTGGTTGCAGGCCTTTGCTTTTCATTCCTTGGAATGTTTCTTGTCATATCCTTCTGGCTTGTAGTGTTTGTGTTCAGAAGTCAGCTGCTAGCCATATCGAGGCTCCCTTGTATGTTACTACCTCTTTCTCCCTTGCTTGCTTTAGGATTCTCTGTTTGTCTTTG